ACGGGAATTCCCCACCCGAATATGGGCCTCCGTCTCCCGAGATTTCAACCTGAGAACCATCTTTCTCGTCATCCTCCACCAATTCACGAGCAAGGACATGTCCAAAGAGACGACATCTGACCTGGCCAAAGCTATTCATGCCTCTCTACAAGAGAGGAAGTTCCTTTTGGTCCTGGACGATGTATGGACTACTGAGGCATTGTCTACAATCACATCTGCCTTGCCAGTGCACAACGAGAGGGGTCGAGCCCTTGTCACCACCCGTAATCAAAATATCTTCAACCGGATCAAACATTACGAACGTTATGATCTTCCCCAGAGGCTGCGTTTCTTGACTAATGACGAAGGTTGGCGACTCCTTCAGTTCAAAGTATTCGGGAAGGACGGGCAGTGTCCTCCGCAGCTGCAATGGCTCGGGAGACGTATAAGCGAACGATGCGAAGGAATACCGATGCTGCTGTTGATGATTGCAGGGATTCTTATGGACTACGTCTCGAAAGCAAAAACAAGCGTTGCCATCGTGAAGTCGTGGATAGAGCTATCCCAAAGCCTGGAGATGTACACTCCTGGTGGATCCGATCTTTTCAGGAGTGTTTTGGAATTGAGTTATGATAGGATGTGTGACGAGTTGAGGGATTGCTTTCTTTATTTGGGGGTGTTCCCAGAGGATTATGAGATCCCGGCTTGGACATTGACCCGGCTATGGATTTCCGAGGGGTTCGTTCGACCAAGGCAGGGACAGAGCTTGGAGGAGAGAGCACACGAGAATCTAATAGATCTCATCGACCGCAACTTGGTCATCGTTGATAAACTTAAAAGCAACGGTGACGTCAAGACATGCCGGATTCATGACACAGTGCACGACTTTTGTAAAGCGGAGTCCGAGGGGAAAGAGCATCTCTTCCAAGTGTTGAGAAAAAATGGCGATGGAACTTTCATCAAACCTTCTCAAAACAATCAGCACCGCCGCATTTGCATTCATTCCAATGTCCTGGAATTCTTCTCCACAGAGCCGTACGCCCCAGCCACTCGTTCTTTCCTTTCTTTCTCCGGAGAAGAAATCGCCTTGCCGACAGAGGACATCCCGAAAATCCNCGGGGGCCTTTGAGTTGGTGAGGGTTTTACATGTGAAGCCCCTCGTGTTCAGAATATTTCCACTCGGGCTGACTCAACTCGTGCTTCTGAAGTACGTGGTCCTCTCTAGTGACTTCAAAGTCCTTCCGGAAGCCATTTCCAGGCTAAGCAACATGATGACTCTCGTAATCCATACATCGTCTCGTACTTTGGCAATCAAAGCCGATATTTGGAGCTCGATGGCTCAGCTGAGAGACTTGAGGACAAACGCGTCAATTACTCTGCACAAAAACCCAGCAGCTGACGAAAACCAAGGTGGCCAGCATCTTCAGACGCTGGCCAACATATCACCGGGCGATTGCACTCTTGATTTGTTCGAGCGGGCACATCACCTCAAGAAATTAGGCATTCGGGGGATACTTGCCACGATGAATTTCGGCAACTTAAGAGTACTAAATGAGCTTGAGAATTTGAAGCTGCTGAATGATGACATCCATGATATCATGAGCCCACTCAGCCTTCCTCCTCCAGATAAGTTCCCCCCGAAACTTAGGAGCTTGACGTTATCTGCCACTTTTCTCGGTTGGGAACAGATGTCTGTCATAGGAATGCTGGAGAATCTTGAGGTGCTCAAGCTGAAAGACAATGCGTTCGTGGGTCGGTGCTGGGAGGTGGGCCCCGGTGGTTTCCGTAGCCTTGAAGTGCTGCACATTGGGTACACGAACATAGTTTCTTGGGAAGCTTCGGATAACGACTTTCCTAAGCTTAAATGCTTAATGCTCAGAAACTGTGAGGAACTTGAATCGCTGCCCCAAGTGCTTGCGGATGTACCGTGCCTTGAGACAATGGTCTTGCACCGGCTCAGTAGAACGGCTGTGGCTTCAGCTAGAAAAATCCAGCAGCAAATATTGCAAAACAGAGGGGACTGTGGAGGAGGAGGCAGGGGAATTAAGCTTTCCATATTTCCTCCTTACGAATGACATGTTAAATTATGATTATTTTT